AGATGAGACATGGACATCTGGTGTAATACTAATATTTTCATATTTTTTTGAACATAGTATATATTAAGTATAAAATATATTATTATTTTATTTTACCTTATAATAAAAACAACTTTAAAATTCATTACCTACTCTGTAATACAAAGAATTGTAACGTATGGATTATACCTACCTACCTACCTACATGTTAATCCAATAATCAAGGGATCTTATAACATATTTAATTATATCGATAGGTATATTAAATGCATAACCATTTTCATTTTGACTAAAGATTTACCTTCACTTACAGGTATTCAGCGTCAAAGAATCAAAAGAGGGGTTGTGGACGAATGTTGCACAATTCCCTGCTCGAGGAGATATTTAAAAAATAATTATTGCGGTACTCCTCCGAAAACAACGTATGTACATTTTTATTTATCTTAACATTATAATAATGATGTGATTAGTTTTGATGATTAGATATCTCAATTTTAAACTTTAATCAAATATTCAATAAAACCAACATATAGATAAAATAACCATACTACAACAAACCCGTTTAAAAAAAATGTCAATGATATATCGAACTTTTGATTGATAGTCAGTATAATACACGTATCTATAATCATTATATGTTAATTGTATAAGACCATTGTAGTAAATTTAATAATAATATTTATGCCCTTTTGACGGAATCGTCCCAAAATATTGTCTGTTTGAGTGAATAGTTATATAATATCTATTGGGTGAATGTTTTCATTCCTCAAAAATACCGTTCGGGCTAATAAGTATAAATAAGTTTATAGGTGAATACATTTAGGTAGGAATATAATTAATATTGTTTATTAGTCATGTACATTGTCACTTGAAAAAATAAAGTCACATAATATAATATACATAATAAATCATAATTATAATGAACAATTAAAAATATATTGATACTATACTTCTTAGTACCTAATATTGTATTGTAATATACAGTCAACATTAATAAAAATATTGCTATTAATAAAACAAAATCAAATAGGTACCATAGGTAAATGATAGTTAGTCGCCCAAATGGGTTATTCATTTTTTGATTAAAATGAATACACTTGCCCAAACGACCACCAACCGACCAAACAGTGCTTAATGAAAAAGTACCTACCTATTTAAGATTGTCGTACCTTTCAAATTATAAATATGATTTTTCTCAGAAATTAATTAATGTTTATAAATTACAGAACTACTCCCGAAATTACAACGACCACGGAATCAAGAATAAAACCCGTTGATTATTCTATGTACTATTATGCACTAAGTAAGTAACTACATAAAATATGTCATTGGTAGGATTTAAGGGTGTACCTGAGTGTGAATTTTGAAACCCATAGCCTATAGATAATATTTAAATTGTTAGATATTATTTTAATTACCTACTAACATATGACTATATAAGTATAATATATTAATCATAAATGGTTCAATGGTATATTTTTAATAATAAAAATAATTGTATTGTTCAAATCTCTGAAATGATAGCCCTCTACTATAGTTACATAATCTTAGATGACACAATTTGAATCTACTACCTAAATTTTTACATATTCAGTTTTCATTCAAATATCATTAAGTAAATTGCCGGATCAAGTTTTTAATTTAATATATTAGTTATATGTTAGCCTAACTAAAAATATATAACTTGGAAGTTGGAACAAAACTTCTAACTTGTGGAATTGATGGGTTAAGAAACTGCTGCATAAGTGGTGGTATCTGTTAAACTTGTAGTACTGGTTCAAGGGTGTAATTGAATAATAAATTTGATGTGGTGAAATCAATAAAATTCCATTATTTCATACCAGATAGGTAAAAATATATTAAACTTATATTATGTAATTAAATGGGCGTTCCTCAACATCCATATTACCTATCCGTTGAGTATATACCTATCTGGCTAACTCAACTTTTGAATCTTTACACAAATTCACGAAATAAAAATTGCTCTAATAATAATTTTTTTTTGATTTCACAGTTAATCGTGTAAAAGCTGAGCCTAAAGATTATCCAAGACACTAAGCGACATGGAATGCAGTACATATATTATATTTCAGTTTTTTTTTTTTTACTTTTTCAATCTTTATTTTACTGATGAAATAATATATATACATATTAAGATAAACTATCTGTATATACTCTGTTTGTTTTGTTATAATACCTACTTTATTCAAAATCAGATCAGTAACACCAGCGACCATTTATAATTATTATAACTATTATTGACTATTATAACTATTCATTGAACATTGTTTTATTAAGATATTTAGGTTGTAGGTATATAGTTTTAGATTCTGAGCGGAGCGATGAATGTATTGGTTTTACAATGATGTGTGTTTTTATATTTTTATATTTTTATATTTTTATATTTTTGTGTCTGTCATCACGTTTTGGGACAGTAAAAGTGCTTCGATTTTCTTCAATAGTACCTTTTCTGATAGGAAAGTGAATCTAGTTGGTACTTTGGGGGGTCAAAAGTAAACATTTTCCAGTAGTTTTCACAAGCGCCGGGAAAAACAACATAAAAATTAAGGAAAAACGGGAATTTTTTACGCAAAATCGATTTTCCAAAAAATCGAATTTGGTTTTTGGTGTAACTTTAAAACAAATGACCGTAGATACATGAAATTTTCACTGGTTGTTTATATTTGCAATTTCTATACACGATAACATTTTCAAAATATTTTGATTTATTTTGAACTGTTTAGGGACATTTTCATTTTTCATTTTTTTTTAGTTTTTTTTCTAGAAATATCAATAAAATTTATTTGTTGGTTGCGAAAGCTTGAAAATTTAATAGAAGGCTCCTAATATGTTGTTTTAAAGGCAGATGAAAAATATTAAAAATCCTTAGTCACAATTTTTTTTTATAAGCATTTAAAGTTCAAAAATTTACAAAATATGGAAAAATCACGAAAATTAGCAAATTATTTTGAGTTAAGAATTCGTAAAAATTTTTCTTTTTAAATCTAAGATTTGAAAATGAAACACAAGATTCCTTATAAGATTATCTACCTTTATCAATAAAAAAATCTCTACCGGACAGTCAAGTTAAATTTTTATGAGCGTTTGAAATTCAAATTTTTACAACATTGGATATTCACTCGATTACTCATGTAGCGATTTCCTTATTTTGTTGCAATTCAAAAACGAACAACTGTAGATACATGAAAATTTCACTCAATGTTTAAAGTTTAAATTAGCATTTTCTATACACCATACAATTTTGAAAATATTTTGACTCTTTTTGAGATGTTTATGGACATTTACAGCTTTCAATTTTTTTTAGTTTTTTTTTCTATAAATATCAATAAAGTTTTATCTGTTGGGCCAAAAAGTGTAAAAATTTAATACAAGGCTCCTGAAATATTGTTACAATAGCAGTTGAAAAATATTAAAAATACATAGGCACAGTTTTTTTTTATAAGCATTTAAAGATAAAATTTTGACAAAATTTATCAAAATCTCGAAAATTATCAATCATTGTAATTAATAAATTATAAAATGTTCAGTTTTTATAGCTAAGGATTGCAAATTCAACACAAAGGTTCTCGTAAATAGTTCATACTGTAACCAAAAAATCTAAAAAATATATGAACACACTTATTTTTTACAGACATTTTAAATTCAAATTTGGACGAAATTACATATTAAAAAACCTAGAATAACTATTTTAGTTATTTTGTTGTGATTGAATAATATTATTCGTGGGTACTTGAAACTTCTAAAGTATACTATTATATATCTATGATAGTATCACGGTTTTTGTTGATGTATAACGTGTTATAAGTATCTAATGGATATTGTGATATGATTGATTTGGAATTTATTATAGGTACCTATTACCACAGAACAAAATAGAATAGACACTCGATCAGCTGTGAGGGTTTACGTATCCCTACGGTATGATGTATTGGACTATAAAAGTTGTACCGTATCCGTAATCTGATAGAACGTTAGCAACGTGTATCCCTCTTTGTTACGGAATTTTTATAAACGATTAATAAAGATAAATAATTTATTTTTCATATTTTAAGTTTATCAATATTAAATTTTGGTAAAATGAATAAGGATTTTGTTTTAATATAAATTAAAAACTATAATATAATTTTAAATTGGTTTATTGTTAATGAAATAATAATAATAATATATTGTATTATTATTCTGTGGACTGATAATATTGATATGATTTATTTAAATGATAACATATGCCACGCCCCCTTAGAGACCGTGCTCAAGGCCACAGTCACCCGATTTTGCCAATACACAGAGTGTCTATACCCTGCTATTACAGGTCAATTTTTTGTTTAATACCATAGATATGTATATAATATGTCTTATACATAGACTGACATATCGTCACCGCTCAGAATCGTTTTTCTTATACAATGATATTATATCATTGAATTCAAATTTAATACCATCCATTATACAGTGACCCACTTGTAACCTACTGTACAGCAGAGCGACACCCACTTGCCCACCTTTTTAATTTGATAAGCAATGGAATAACAATATAATATTATTCATTCTGTTTATTATAAATTATTTTTTAAATACGGTGGATCATATGGATATGGATAATGCCTCAGTGAGTTTCAACAATGTTTATATCAGAAAGATAGCAATGGATTACAAACATTATATTCAGAAAATTTTAAGTATTTATTACAAAATAGTGTTTGGGCATTTTTGTTATACAGTCCACTACGAATATTATCATTATTATTATCATTACTATGTTATCATTATTATGTTACCACTATAATTATGTCGCATTATTATTATTCTTACTATCAGTCAATAAAATACTATTTTGACTGTGTTCAGTCCAGTTGACAAAAAACCATATATGTACGTCTCTTTAAAACATCTCATCAAAATCCCAACGGGTATATACAAAACATTTTGGTCCAACGAGTCGGATTTTAATCCATTTACATCCGTTTTTATGTATACTCGTTACGCGAAATTACATTTATGTCATGTCAGCTAGAACGTTAGATAACAATTACAAACTCATCGTCAAGAAGAGGGATTATCTGTCTGCGGAAAATGTGTCTCGCTTAAACTCAGATCAAACTAAAGTTCAATTAGACCTATTACAACCAGCGTTTGACTTTTACAATAAAAAGTTTGAGGAGTTGATGTTGACTGTTGAAGATGAAAAGATTGATACTTACATAGAAGGATTGGAAGAAGTAAGTGACATTTATGCACATACTAAAGCAATTTTATTATCACGTATACACAAATCAGAAGAACCAAAACCAATACCACATGAAAGTAATGTACATCAATTGATAAAACTTCCACCCATTAATCTACCTATACATTTGATGGCAAGTTTGAAGAATGGTACTCTTACCGTGATCAATTTATGTCTATGGTTCATGATAATCAAGATATTGATGATGTGCATAGAATGTATTATTTGAAGTCCAGTTTACAAAGACAAGCAGCCGAAGTCATTGGAATCTTATCTGTAACTGCTTTAAACTATAAGGAAGCGTGGTCGCTGCTAGTTGACAGGTATGATAATAAACGACTCATAGTTCAAAAACATTTGCACTATTTACTATCACAACCCGTCATAAATAGTGAATCAGCAAACGCTTTAAGAAATCTGTTGGACGTTACTAGAAAACATTTATCAGCTCTTAAGGTATTAGAACTTCCAGTAAATCATTGGGATGCGATTTTAGTGCATATTGTAGCTAATAGATTACCAAATAACATGCGGCAAACCTGGGAGGTAGAAGGTCGTAAGTCAACTGAGTTGCCATCGTGGCAGAATCTATGTTCATTGAAAATCGCATACATGCACTTGATATTGTACAGCTAAAATTTAATGGTACTTTTATAGGTAAACAAATTACTCGGGCGACTACACATGCTGCGCTAACAATGAGTCATAAACAGATCAGGGAAAGAAATCATGTCCGGTATGTAGTCAAAGCTACCATTCAATATATCAGTGTCCAACATTCATGCAAGCTACACCTAAAGACCGTAAAACACTAGACATAAAGGCAAGACTGTGTTTTAATTGTCTATGGAACTCTCATCATACAAATAAATGTTCAAGCAGCAAGGTATGTAAAATATGTACATTAAAACATCATACTCTTCTTCATATAACATCATATCATACATCACATCTCACTAGTGATAAAACATTGGTTTCTAATAAGGCATCTGACGAGCAAGATGTTCAAGCTGTCTCGGCAGAAGTGGCTAACAACGTTGTGGTTCATCATGGCACTACTCAATCAACAATTACATCTACAACTTTATTAGCAACAGCCTTAATACATACATGGTACCAATGGCAAGACAGAAATGTGTCGTGCTCTATTAGATTCTGGTTCCCAGTCTCACTTCATATCATCAGCATTGGCTAAACGTCTACATTTGAAACGCCAGAAGCATGATGTAACTGTAGATGGTATCTCTAACACTACAACAAATGTGCGGGAGATAACAACATTTTACATCTCATCTTGTACTACATCTAAACAATACAAATTAAATGCTCTGGTTACACCTAAAATTACAATAAACCTGCCTACAATTAAAATAGACATCTCTGAATGGAAACATATAAATAATATCTACCCTTAGCCGACCCAACATTCTATAAACCAGGTAAAATTGATTTGTTAATTGGTGCTGAGTTGTTCTTTTGGCTATTAAAGACTGGTAAGTCCTGCGAAAACAAAGGTTGGCCAGAACACTGAATTGGGATGAATTATTGGTGGCGGTTATGAACTACCGCTTAAGGAAACCACTACTGAAAACATCACCTGTCACACTACAGCAGTTCTATCTACTTTAGACATAGCTGTTCAAAACTTTTGGAACATTGAAGAGATACCTAGAGCTAATGACTAAAGAAGATATGATATGTGAAGAGCATTTTATAAAACACATTATAGAGAGAAAAGTGGACGTTATGTGGTATGTTTACCGTTCAAAGAGCCACCACCTGCTGTGAACGACTCCTATCAAATAGCCGTTAGCAGATTGAACCTCTTCTGAGATTGAACTCAGATTGAACGAGCTCTCAAAGGACAACCAACCTTGTGGTCAATGTATAAGGACTTTATGTATAAATATGAACATTCTGACAATATGAAATTGGTTCAACCAGGTGAGCAACAAACTATGATTTATTTGCCTCATCATCATGTGTGTCGATTGGCCAGTTCTTCTACCAAACTAAGAGTTGTTTTCGATGGATCAAGTAAGATAGATTAGTGCTCGCTTAATGATCGACTATAACGTGGTCATAAATTGCAAAAAAACATTGTTGATATCATCACACATTTCAGATTTCCCGCCATTGTGTGTGTTTACCGCAGATATACGTCAAATGTTCCGGCAAATACAAGTTGACAGGGAGGATCAGCAGTTTCAAGGTATTGTATGGAGAGACGGATCCATCGAAACCTATACAGAGCTACAGACTTGCAACAGTGACATATGGATTGATCACCTCGCCATATCATGCCTTAAGTGTCTTAAAACAATTAGCATTAGATGAACAAGACACCTACCCAATAGGAGCGCAGATCTTGTTAAAGGACTTTTATGTTGACGAATTCATGACTGGTGGTGGTAGTCTAAGGGAAGTATTGCATAAAATTCATGAACTTATTGCATTATTAAATCAAGGAGGTTTTAAGCTGCAAAAATGGGCAAGCAACCACCACGAAGCCTTGCAACACATACCCTCTGAACACCAAATTAAAGAAATATCATTCAAAGAAGATATAGACTCTACAATAAAAATATTGGGCATCAATTGGAACACAACGAATGACACATTTACATTTAGGGCAGAACCAATGAAAACTATCTCTTATCTAACAAAAAGGGAACTATTATCCGAAATTGCAAGAAACTTTGATCCTTGTGGTTGGTTGGCGCCCTTATTAGTTGTTGCAAAATTGATAATGCAGCAATTGTGGCAAGAGCGCATAGCGTGGAAAGACCACAACCCCCAACATTTATTTAACGCCTGGAAAATACATAGAACGTCATTTAAATTTTTAAACACATTTGGAATACCACGGCACATAATGAATTCATAGGAGCACAGTACATTTCTACTGCATGGTTTCAGCCATAGCTCTGAAAAGACTTATGCCGCTGCAGTCTACATCGTCTCCACTCAAGAACATTCAGTACCTATGTTGCTAGCAGAAAATTATGAAAACTCTACATTTAACATTGAAGAAAGAACAGTGCAATGCAGTATGCCATTAACGACCACGTCAAGCACTACACCAAGTTTACAACTTCTGAATCGTCATTCTAATCTAGAAAGGTTATTGAGAATTGTATCTTATATTATTCGATTTTGCAGGAACTGTAGACCTCAGGCCAAGCAGATCGTCGGTGCTGTGAGTAAAAGGCGCCAAGCAATGGAGTACTGGATACGTTTAGTGCAAGAAGCAGAATTTATCATGGAACTAACCTCCCTGAGTCGACAATAGAATGTAAGGACCAATAGTCAACTTGCTGGTTTGAATCCTTTTATAGATGAAAAGGGAATACTAAGAGTGGGCGGTCGTCTCAAGCATTCAGAAATGGCTTATGATATGAAACATCCTATTATTCTACCAAAAAATCACTCCTTCACTACAATGATCATCAACCAAGTGCACCTACATAACCTACATTCAAGCTTGTCGGTTACTATGACCCTTCTTAGACAGAGATATTGGATCATACATAACAGGAGCTCTGTCAAAAGAGTGATACATAACTGTATTAAATGTTATCGATTTATAAAAGCAGCATGTCACCAACTAATGTCAAATCTACCTACATCAGGAATTACACGAGCAACTGCCTTTGAAAGAGTTGGAGTTGACTTTGCCGGCCCGTTTAATATCAAATCCAAACTTCACACTTTGTACCTTGTACTTCTACTTTAACTACTAAGGCAGTACATTTGGAAAAGGTAGATGGATTGAGTACTGAAGATTTTATTGCTACATTAAGACGCTTTATTGCTTGTCGAAGACTCCCAGCTATCATCCGTAGCGATAACGGAACAAACTACTGGTATGAACAACAAATTGTGTGAGCTATACAAACTAATTCAGCAACCTGATCATCAAAACTCTGTTACATTATTCTGTCAGTCAAAGGAAATTCAGTGGAAATTCATTCCACCTGCTTCGCCTCATCATGGAGGGTTGTGGGAATCGAATATAAAGTCTGCCAAGGGTATTCTAAATAAGGTTACAAGAGACATGTGCTTTACCGCGGAAGAGCTAAACACCTTGTTTTGCCAAATTGAAGCGATTATAAATTCAAGACCACTTCAAGCTGTCTCCATGGATACCACTGATTACACAGCTTTAACCCCTGGAAACTTTCTTATAGTTAGGCCTCTTCTAGCTTTGCCTGAACCAGAATTAACAGAAGTTCCTATGAATCGTTTGACAAGATGGAACTTCAAGCTTTTTTTCTAGTTGTTTTTTATAATACAGAGCTGAGGCTATAGACAAATTAACCCGCAATATGAATTTTTTTTACCTCATAAATGTCTACCATAGGGCGGTATACAAAATACACTAATGTTAATAATATATTTTAAGTATCCGGCCCTAGTTCTCCAAAAATACTATAAACTATTGTATAATATAATATTTACCCATATGGCTATTGGCTGATACAATAATATACAATATTATTATATGTAATATGTAAGTAGGCATTACTTATGATAATTTATTGTTTAATCTTATAATATATTAATTCATAAATCATTATTTTATATTTATTTCTAAACAAACTGAAACAACACTGGTATAATTTATTTATGATACAAATTTATTGTATTAACTTATATTTTATAATAACAATCGCTTTTGAAATGGCACTAAACTTTTTAATTCTTCTATAACCTTCAGAAGCTTCAACATTAATCGTTAATTCCTGTTTGACATAGGTGATTGTTACTTGTTCTGTACAAAGTTAACGATAATATAAATTATGATGTCTGTGAGTTGTACGAATCACGACATCACCTTAAATGAAATACCAAACTTGAAACTACCATAGTATTATTTCTTAACCGTCAATATCAGTGCGGTGTCGGGTCGGTCTCCGAGAAAAGGCTATAATTTTGTGCTGGAAATTGTTATCAGCGTAATTATACCGAATTTTTCGTGTCAACGACAATATCATTGAATATAATTTAAGAAATAATGATAAACAAATACGATGCATAGTAAAAAAATGTCTAAACATCCAGGCTCCATTAACAATAATTGGTAAAAATATATGCAATTGTTATTTTAGAGAATTATTCTGAATACTTGCAGTTTTACTTATAAAAAACTGAAATTCAATTAATGTGCATGTATATTATTAAATGTTATTAATTATTTTTCTTTACATTAGGATGTGCCAAGGTACACCGGGCACACCCCGTAATTCCGCCTATGATTACTGTATTGGATGTGTTAAATTTGAATTCAATGGTATAAAATCATCATATACGAAAAACGATTTTTTTTTTAAACATAAAATAAAATAACTTAAATCTAGACACGCGGTAGCGTGTCAAGCCAAGTTCTAGCTAACAGAACTGGCGAGCAGCACCGTGTGTAATATTACACGAACCATTTGGAGCCACTTTTGACCCCCTCATAACTCAAAAACTATTCCACATAAACATGTCAAATTTGGCTCATATATTGAGACTAACGAGATACATATGTGCTCTAAATTTCATAAACACACTTCAAACCGTTATTTAGATATTAACGTCCGAAAATCGTCATTTTTATCACTGACTTACCTATAGATCAAAATTCTAACCCAGTTCCAGATGACCTAGAAAGTTCAAATTTGGCATACAGATAGGTAGTTAGGTAAATACAAAGGAAAAAATCAGAAACTTGAAAATTTTTTAATTTTTAATTTTTAGTTTTTTAATTTTTAATTTTTTAATCAATTGATTTTATTATAATTTTGCAATTATTTTATCTATTATGTTTAATTTTTCAATTTATTGATGAATTGCCTCTAATTTAATGTAATGTAATGTAATGTTGACTTAAATAACCTTTCCCGTATCGCCGCTCCAAAAATACGACTAGCCGAATATGTGTCGATATTGTCGACCCGTGCGCAGCAACATACTTTTTTTTCTATCTATGTATGTAATTAATATTATTTTTTTAAATATTACAATTAAAATAATTAAATAATTATTCTTACAAATTATGAATTATCCACCCAACAGTAGAAACTACAGTCAATAAAATTATGATAATTAAAAATATACTCAAAAAGAGTTAAAATAATTGTATATTAATTTTACATATATTTTATACTCTGTATATAAAACGGAAAATATTTTATAATAAATATTATTATTAATATTAGTAACTGAATTATATTATATAGTAATAAACTTTATTTATAGAATACGTCATGGCTAGGTTAGGTTAGGTTATAATAATTTACATACAAAAAGTAATGATATCCCACCAAAAACATATATGTAAAATGAGAGCCAAGTTCAATACTATAATATATGCCTTGGTTGTTAACTTCAACGACAAAAGAAGTGAGATCTAAATGGGTGCCAAGTTAGGATAATATATTGAAGCCTAAGGTCTGACTTGGCTACGAATTATATATTATAGCATTTGCAAGTTCTAAAGCTTTGAGTTCTTATTTTATTCTTCGGAAAATCATCTTCACTCTTCCATTACTGTTTTAGTAGGTACTTATAATAATAATTCGTATATGAAAAGTAGCCAAGTCACACCTTAGACTTCAATATATTATCCTAACTTGGCACCCATTTAGATCTCACTTCTTTTGTCGTTGAAGTTAACAACCAAGGCATATATTATAGTATTGAACTTGGCTCTCATTTTACATATATGTTTTTGGTGGGATCATTATTATTTGTTCAAATAGGTAGGTAATTTTGTCCAAATGTTACCTAAAAATATCTATTAAAAAAGAAGTGAGTGTGTGTGTGTGTGTATGTGTGTGTGTGTGTGTTCAAGTTTATGAAACAAAAAATTATTTATTTATTTGATTCTTTTTATTTTATATACTCTCTTTATTTATTTATTTATTTTATTCATTCTGGTTGACTTTTTAAGTCTAAAGGCGGGACAGTAATTATTGGCTTATGGTAACAAAAACAACTGATGTGAGAATACAACCTGCATTGTTTCAATATTTATCATTATAATTATATATACATGATTATTATTTATTACATAATTAGATAAATAGATAATTATACCAATAATATTATTAATAATATACGTATATGTATGTATATATATTATTATACAATATATAATATTAAAATTATGTTCCATCTCATTATTCCATAATCATTTTTAAATATCTAAATAGATAATAATACCACAGAATAAATAATTAATAAATGTAATTAATTCTGTGATAATACTTTTAATATAACTGTAATAATAGTAATAATATACAAGAATATACAATGTACTATATAATATTATGGATGTATTATTAATACCGTTTTATAATTAAACATTGATGTAATTGTCTCATTTAACTACTTAAGTATTTACATATTGGATCAACACAATCTATAATTCATAAGTAACAGTTTTGAAAAAAATTAAATATAATTTACTTTTGGTTATTAGAATTTTAAATGTTGTGTCGTGAGGATAATTTTGCTATACATTTTCCGGTATTGTACCCCCCATAAAAAAGACAAAGTTTAAAAACTATGTTTATGTAATTTTAGATTTTTGGTAACAGCGTGAAATACTTATGAGTATTTTAACTTAAAAATTTGCTAACATTTTTCAAAATAACGAACATTTGCAAATAATTTGTATTTGAAAATTGAATAAAATGTTTAATTTTTATACCTAAGGATTGACAATTTAAAACAAGGTTTCTCATAAGTATTTTACACTGTTACAAAAAATCTAAAATTATATACACAGTGTTGTTTATGTTATCTCAAATATATACACAAAAATTAGAAATTATATTAAAAGTTGAACTTTTAATACGCCTCTGAAAATTAAAGATACTAGATATTCTTTAGCTTATAGTATTTAATCATCTAATATATATGTTTGTAAAATAATAGTTACAGTTACATCATCAATTTTTTAAATTGTATTCTTAGTCAAGAGAATTTATTTTAAAATATTCTTTTAAATGTGTTCCTCAATAAGGTACCTAGATTAAAATAATGTATATTTCAATGTTATAAATTATGACACCTCACTAACATAGGGTATTTTACTATTCATTCAAAATATATTAATTAATACATTTTTTTACAAATAATTATAAAACACAAAAAAAATTGACTCTCATCAGGATTCAGGGATATATTTAAATTGTAGAAAAAGTAATTTTTAATAACATTTGGTCTATCAAAAATGACAAAGATCAATATATTTTTACGCACAGTGGTTAGAATGGTATGTATAATAAGCGGTATGGGTAAACGAACATCTAGAATTTATTATGGAAAAATAATATACATTCATATGAAATTGAACATTTTGTGAAACTGATCATTTAATAACTCAAAATCTGAAATAACCAGTATTCTTTGAATTTTTTTTTTTTGTATTTACTAAATGACTATTTTAACTTTCACATTTAAAAGCCGGAAAAGATACAAAATGTAATTTTTGGTACCGTTTTGCTTTTAAGAATAAATAAAATGCATATTTAATTATATATTTTTGCACAAGCAATAATAATTATTTCTTTTGTAGATGGAAGATAGAATAATGGATCAAATATATATAAAATTCAAAATCATCAATCAGAAAGTGAAACAGAACAAATGTCAAATGTATGATGAATGTTAATCATATTTTATGTGCAATGTGTCATACTATACACAAATTTTTATTTTTTAACAATAAATAATAAATATTTTATATTCTGAGTGGAAAGATGAATGTATTGATTTTACGATGATGTGTGTTTTTTTTTAAATTTTTAAATTTTTTTTTTTTACTCTTTTTGTGTCTGTGTACACGATAAGTTGTCAAAATAAAGCATTCATTTTCAACTTCAGTTTCTTGTTTGATTGGAAAGTGAATATCGTTGGTGCATTGGGGAGGTCAAATTTTAAAATTCCCAGTAATTTCAAAACCGCCAAGAAAAATTAAGGAAAACGGGAATTTTTACTCAAAATCGAATTTGGTTTTTGGTGTCACTCTAAAACAAATTAAAGTATTATATACATGAAATTTTCATTGGTTGTTTATATTTGCATTTTCTATACACGATAATTTTCAAATTATTATGATTTGTTTTGAACTGTTGAGGAACATTTTCATTTTCCATTTTTTTTTAGTTCTTTTTCTAAAACTATCAATAAAATTATATTTGTTGGTTGCGAAAGCTTGAAAATTTAATAGAAGGCTCCTAGTATACTGTTTCAAAGGCAGATGAAAAATATTAAAAATCCTTAGTT